GCTGCCTCATGAGCAGCCCGATTAAGACGCCTGCTAAATTAATCCAGTTCCATCTCACCTCCCTAAAAGAGCAGCAAGCCTTGGATATTTCTTCGAGCAGGGGCAAAATACACCACACTTTGTTCCTCACATCTCCCTTCACTCCATTGATAAGGAATCTTGAATCGGTTTCCATAATAAAGGCCGTTTAAATATCCAGAGAAGCTTCGTTTCTATTCTACTACAGTTTTTACTGATCTGAGCACGCTGTGAATTGTATTGGCAAATTTTGGTTTTTTTGTTTAATTGATTATGTGTCCCATAAGCAAGAATCTCCAAACTCTTACAGTAAACTTAAGGACTTAATCTATACATACATAAACGCATAGTCAAGGAGAGTTGAAAGAGGAACTGAAAGAATTACTCTGTTGTTTTGCATTCGTATTCTTACAACACCAACTTTGTGTATGTAATTTTGTGGTTCACAATTTAGCCAAATTTATTTTATATTGTAATGAGACATGTTACCGGATGGAAGAAAGGCCTAGTTGGCTTCACTCTTACCTTCAGGATCATTTGTGTTCTCTGTATTCTATTAATGAATAAAGTCTTTGGCCTCTGGCCATTAATCTAAAAAAAATGGAAATTATTTAGAAATGAAATGATTTATTAAATGAGAATATAATAAATTAACAAATTTGTATAATTAAAAATTTTAAATTGAACGTTTTTATGGGACACAACGCAACCAGACCAATTTATAATAGCAACTTTCAAGCTGTTTGATCATCAACACCTTGTGTCCATCAGCCGTTTTCAGTAGGCACTTTCTTATGTTGTCTTGTCTGCTTCATGGTAGTTAACATACTCTCTTTTTTGGGTTCAAAGTCCACCCTCCACCATTAATAAAATTAAAATAAACATATTCTCTTCTTTGGGATTAATATACATAATTGAAACGGAGTATTTTTTTTAATTTTTAATTTTTTATCAACTGGCTTTAATATATTATTAAAGAGGACGTAGTTGATAAAAAAATAAAATAAGGTTTAGGAGATTATGTGAGCCTCTGTACATCGTCGGATTAACTAAGCAGCCTACTCTCCTTCCGCATAGCGATCAATGAGAACCATGCACCTAAGAGCATGTCCAGCGCCCAATCTAAACTGGGTGAAAGGCTGCCAGGGTGAGCCCGAGATGGCTCCAGTGCAGGGCCCGTAGCCCGGTTTCATAGTGGGTCCCACGAGCCCGAGGAAGCCCAAGGGCAAGTCTTGCCCGGGCTGAAGCCAGAGTCTGGTGAAGTCAGCGCTGGCGTCAGGCTGACGCCAGTGCACGGTAACTCAAATTTTTTTTACCGTTGACGCATGAAATTTGACTTCCGTGCGCTGGCGTCAGCGTGACGCCAGCGCTGATGTCACCAAACTCGGGCTTCAGCCCAGTCAAGACTTGCCCTTGGGCTTCGTCGGGCTGGCGGGACCCACCTCGAAACCGGGCTACAGGCCCTGCGCTGGAGTTGCCTCGGGCTCCCTCTGGCTCTTCTTCCTTCTTTTGAAACCCAATCCCAAATGCCCTTTAAAAAAACTCCCTATTGCCCATCCTTCCCTTAGTTTTTTTTTTCTTCTGAGTCATTGCTCTATGAAATCCTCTCATCTCTCTAGTCTCTTCCTCTTCCTCTTCTTCCTTCTGCCCCTCTTTCACTTTTGTTTAGTCGTTCTGAGCTCTCCTAAATCCTCTTTCACAATTTCTCAGTCTCACTCTCTCAGCCCTCCTCTCCTCTCTTCTCTCTTTCACTCGCACCCACATCGGCGACGACGACCCCACCCTTTCCTCCTTTATCTCTCACTCTCTGTCACCTCCTTCGACCTCCATGCCTTTTTTTTTTCTTGGTGCACCTTTAATTTGTCTATATTTTCTTGCATAATCAATTTTATTTTTGCATTTCAAAATAGTTTATATTTTCTTGCATAATAATTTTTGTTTCTTGCACTTCCAATTATTTATTTTTAATAGATGATACAAGCACAAATGTGGTTCGGTGCTATGGGGCAAGGCAAGAGACTTGAAAAGAGATGAAATGGACATGGCATGAGAGGAAGCATTTGTTCTGCAACAACAAATGGCACAAGAAAAAGACATAGAGGATAGAGAGATGAAAATCATGGCCATGGATACGAGCCATATGTCTCCCGAAACAAAGGCCTATTGGAAGCTACGACGAAGAGATGTGATGAGAAGAAAACTTTTCCATGACGACGAACCTAGCAATATGGATTGGTTAAATGATGAAAACCATTAAGTTGTATTGAAACACCTTTGCCATATGGTGTATTGTTGTATTATCCTTTAATTTGTTGTATTGTTTCCTTTTTATTCAATAAAAAAAGTATTAAATAAAATGACTATTTATTCAAAACATTTGAGCAACAAAACAAATATTATTTAAAAAAACCTTCATTTATTGCAAACAACACACAAAACAAACCATACATAAAAGCATAATAATAAAAAGCATAATTCCAAAAAAAAAAAAACCACACACAAAATAAAACATAATTAAAAACAAAGCATAATTCCAAACAAAGCACTAATCTTGACTTCATCCATTGTGATTGCCTTTCATCTCCCACAAGTGCTCGACCAAGTCACCTTGACGTATCTCGTGAACATATGAAGATTGCATTTCTTGATACCGATCAATCATGGGGTTGTTGAATTGACCATCCCGAAGTAACGGTTCGGGCTCCAGTGGTAGTCCATTTGGTCCAATCGGCCTTTCATATATTCTTGTCAACGATGTGTTAATTGGATCGGGTTCAAACACCTCTGGAGCGTCATAGTCATACTCATCCTCCACAATTATGTTGTGGAGGATGATGCAAGTCATCATAATACTCCGCAGCACCTCCTCATCTAGCATCCGAGCAGCACCTCTAATAATTGCCCAACGAGCTTGCAAGATACAGAAACACCTCTCCACGTCTTTCCTGTAACCTTCTTGAAAGGAAGCAAAGTTTTTTTCCTTCTCGGATTGGGGATTCGGAATTGTTTTCACGAATGTCGTCCACCTAGGATAAATTCCGTCGGCAATGTAGTACGCACCAGAGTAAATGGTATTGTTGATTTGATACGTGACCTGGGGGGAATGACCTCGCAATACCTCGTTGAACACCGGCGATTGACAAGGACATTGAGTTCATTCTGAGATCTTGCAACCCCGAAGAAGGCATGCCAAACCCAACAGTCGAATGAAGCTACGGCCTCCAAAATTATACTTTTTTGGCCCTTCTGATTCCCGTACTCTCCTTGCCAAGCAGTAGGACAGTTCTTCCACTGCCAATGCATGCAATCTATGCTTCCAATCATTCCTGGGAAACCTCGAGCCTCGCCTTTTTGTAGAAGCCGTTGCAGGTCTCTTGGCGTGGGTTTGCGAAGGTACTCCCTCGTGTACAAATTTTCCACTGCATCACAGAATCTCACCAAGCACTCTAGGACAGTAGATTTTCCCATCCTTGCAATCTCATCCACCTGCTCTGCAGATGCCCCATAAGCAAGCATCCGCAAAGCAGCTGTAAGTTTTTGCTCCGGAATAAGACCCAAAGCTCCAACAACATCATGCTTTTGAATGAAGTATGTGTCGTAATTACAAATATCATGCATGATTTTTTGGAACAAATGTGGCTGCATTCTATATCTTTCTCGAAACTTAGAAGCAGGATATAACCAATTTGGGATAAAATAATCCTCCATGAGATTCTTACCCCGAGACTCCCTACGTCTGTCGACATTCGGGGCACGACGACGACGGTGTTGCCTTGATTGATCCATCATACACACCGCTGTTGCAAGCATTTGTTCCTCTTCTTCATCGGCGTCCCGATCTTCTTGAGCACGTCTACGCCGGATTTCTTCCCTTTGTTTCTGTTGCCTCTCCAACACCCTCGACAAGTTTGACATTGAGAGTAGAATGTGTTTTCTAAAATCTAAGAAATGCAGGAATAGATAAGAGATGGTGTGAGAGGTATGAGTTGATGATGTTGTTTTATAGAGGGATTTAGAAGATAGAGATGACACGTGGCACAATTTTAGAAGGTGAAAATCTTATCTGAAATATGAGATTATAATTTTTTTTAAAATATCTAAAAATCTTATCTGACATGAGACACGTGGCATAATTTTAGAGGGTGAAAATCTTATCTGAAATATGAGATTATAATTTTTTTTAAAATATCTAAAAATCTTATCTGACATGAGACACGTGGCATAATTTTAGAGGGTGAAAATCTTATCTGAAATATGAGATTATAATTTTTTTTTCAATATCTGAAAATCGTATCTGACATGGGACACGTGGCACAATTTTAGAGGGTGAAAATCTTATCCGAAAATTTAATTACAAAAGATTATCAAAATTAATGGTTTAAAGTATAAAAAAATAGGAAATAAAGTACAATGAATAGTAATTGCTTTAGACTTACCCTAGACTTTGCCTTCATAGGTGGAACCACAAATGCAAAGGCTGGCACTATTCACGTGAATAGTGGCAGCCCTTGCTTGCCCTTGCTTGCCCTTGCCTTAGACTTAGCCCTTGTGGGTGGAGATGCTCTAATAGAGCGCCTTGTCCCCCTAAATCCTTATTTTTATAAATGTAAAAAAAAAGTGTTCTAATAATTAATACGTGTAGGGCATGTCAAGTCATGCTAGTTATGTTAATTTGAAGTGCAAAGTGCAAATGCAAAAGCTCCAACAAGTTACATGTTCTGTAACTTTCTAAACTTCTTTTGTTCGTTAACTTCTGTAATTTTCAAATGCTCATTTCTCTCTAATATATGTATATGGTTTGAGAACAAAGGAAAACGTAGACCCCTAATCCTGCTCCTCCATTTCAAGATTGATCCTAAGAGACCCATTTCTGCAAATAAATTGGCCTTATTGGATAAACAAGATGCATGATTTTTTAAACCACTTGATAAACATAAAATTAGTTGCAAATTGATTAATTTGCCAATTATCAAACGCAAGCACATCCCCAGTAAAACGAATAGCGACGGTTCAGTGATTGAAAAGGTAAACTAGTATTATAATTCTACAACAAAATACAAAACAAGTGTCACTCATAGCTATAGAAATAAAGAAAATCAATGACAAAAAATAATCCAAGAAATACTCTTTCATCAATCCAAAATCCACATCATTATAGAGATGTCTCCTAGCTGTTTTCACTTGCAGTGTAAAGATTTGAGGGTCTTGGCTGCCACATCAAAAGCTATGGTGCAGTTCATGTTGGTAGCCTTCTTCTTCTTCATTATGAACATAATTGCAACTTTTCCATTCAATCTGCCTACGCTGTTGAGCGTCAACACCCCGCTGCTCAATTCGGTGCTAAGATTTGAACCACCAGTTATTCCACTTGAATTCAAACTCACCTCCACATTTCTTTTTATCGTTGAAAGCCATCCAGCCTTGCCCTTTGTGATATTAATTACTCCCACAGTCGCTCCTTGGTATTGAAACGTGACATTGGCAGCATTGAACTTGTAGGAACCCCAGTTGGCTGAGTTCTTGATTTTGATTTGGGTTGTGAATTTTGTGTCGAATGAAGGCGTTGCTGGGACAGATTCGAAGCTTTGGACGTTGATGTTGCCTAGTCTGAACCTGGGGGTCTTAACTTTCATCACAGTGAGACTCATTGTGGTAATAACTATGATCTGAAAAACAACAAAAATACCAATATATATGGCCATTTTGATTTTCTTCTTGCGTTTCAGCTCATCAGCATTTTCCAAAGACTCTGCATCACTTCTTTGGTAACCATGGTTTGCTGGTGCCGAAGGATAAGCCTGTTGAGTCCTCTCTGCCATGTTGCTCGGTTTTTCTTTTTCTGATATCAATGAAAAGAAAATTCTCTGCTTTTGAGGAGTTTGGTTTTCTAAGATATGAAACTTGGAAATGGAGGGAGTTGTTTGTGGAAATGATGGAAGAGTAGTCTCTTATTTATAGTATGAGGTGGAATGAATTTCCTGGAAAATGTGAGTTTCAGGGGAAGAGTGTTATGGCACACACCAAACGCGTCCAAATGTAAGAATTTTATTGACTTCTAGATGATGGATGACTTTGTTGAGGAGCCTTTACGCTTTTTCGCTTTGAGTAGATGAACATATGAATTAAATATCAATATAGAAGCTTCTGTGCATAGATCAAATCTTCTAATTAATACAGGTGAGAACATGCTGTAAGATCTATCCCACTTGTCGTCACTGGTCACATTGTTAATAGTATTGGCAAATTATTGTTATATATAATCAAAGACAGAAAGTTGCGGGTTAAGTTACGCCTTCATTTGATGAATATATACCAATAGAAAGCTCCTCACCTAACTCACATTATTATTAAACTATATAGGCAATTGGCCAATTTTGAAATTCTAAGAAACCAATGACTGTCCCAGCAACACCTTCATTCCGCACATAATGATCACAACCCAAATCAGGGTCAAGAACACAAATTGGGGTCCTTACAAGTTCGATGCAATCACTGTTGCGTTTCAATACCGGGGCGTGACAACAGGGCTGTCCCTGAGATTTTGAGGACCTTGTGCAAAACTTAAATTAGGGCCTTACATAATCTAATACAAAAATATACTTATAACTAAAAGTTATCATCAATAAACATGTAATGACTTCAACATGCCTTACCATCCAAAAATCATTCACATTGTATTTGTTATGTTTATTTGAAGAATTAAAACTATTACAAGAGTTTTTTCCCCAAAATTAAAAAAACTATCATTCACATCGGGTAGAATGACTTCAATGAGACTCGAACACGGACCCTTCTATTAAGGGATATGCGCTACAAAGCCAGCTTCGCCACACACACATTTGTGATAAAATGCAGCGCGCTGAAGTATAATATAAACTAAAGTTTTTTTTGGGGGCCCTAAAAAATAAGGGGCCTGTGTGGTGGCGCCACTTGCACCACCCCAGGGCCACCCTTGTGTGACAGTGGGACAAACTGCTATCCCAAAGAGCAAGGCTGGAATGCTTTCCAGCAAAAAAAATCAATGTGGAGGTAAGTTTGAATTCAAATGGATTGCCAAGCAGTTCCAATCTGGGCAGTGAACTGAGCACGGCGGTGTTGACAGTGACACTGAGCAGCGAAGCTAAATTGACTGTAAAGTGTAATTGATGTCTGCCACAATGGACTGCATCATGAAATTTGATTTTTCAACAAAGGCAATTCAAGCTTTGGAATGCAAGTAATGAGAAATTAAGGTCAGCAGTGAGTGATGTAGTTTGCACCTTCCCCATTTGTTGCGCAAGCGAGGCAGGAAGCCTATTTGTTGATGTTTATTTTATTCATTATTTTCTCTTTTTTTTAGGTAGGATTTTTTTGTAGAATCATAATGTGATTTATTTATTCTTTTCAACCAGAGCCTCCTGTTTTTCCTTTTACTTTGTTTCAGGTTTCTGACTATATAAGGAGAGATACTTCGTACGTAATTTTCAGTTTTGGTCAATGGAGGTCTTACAAAACAAAAGATGTCTCCCTTGATGTGACTAGCTTCTGTGTCCAATGCTCTCATCTCAACTTGTGTTTTGTGCTACAATTCCATTTGTCTGTTCATCTGCTTCATGTTGAGGCTCTTTACCTCATGCCATACTAAACAATTAGCAAACCTTTCTCAGTGATTAGATCATCAGCCACACCAACTACATTTTACTGCTCCTTTGTTCCTTTTTATTTTAATTTTGTTTTTAGATTGACCAGCGGATGCCGTGTCAAAGGAACAAGTATATACAAAACGAAAAACCTCTAATCCAGAACAAAATAACAAAAACAGAAGGGCAACAAGTATCATAGACGATAGTTGTCGAATCAAAAGCAACTGCATTTGGCTTAGGTGACTTCAATGTCTTCAATTATTCAGTCTCCATGACAATAGTTTTCTTGCACCCACCATTTGAGAATAATTTCAACAACTTTAAAGAAGCAAAGTATAAAAAACTATCATATAATAAATCAAGGAGTACATGAATATAAGTTATCATCATTACAAGAGCAATTGATGATAATTAAGTATCATAGAATAGATCATCATGGAATAACTACAGGGGAGTGGTAATGAAAACAAATACCATTAAAACTCTATGACAAATCCAATTGCCACACAGATACAAAGAATAAAAAGAATAAGAAGAGTCACAAATCAAGAACTAGCTAGTCACAATCCAAATGCTGAAGATGCCGCCTGGATGCTTAGCTACTCTTTCATTATGAACATAATTGCTACTTTTCCATTCAATCTGCCTACGCTGTTGAGCGTCAACACCCCGCTGCTCAATTCGCTGCCCAGATTTGAACCAGTTAATCCACTTGAACTCAATGTCACCTCCACATTTCTTTTTATGGTCGAAAGCCATCCAGCCTTGCCCTTTGCGATATTAATTACTCCCACAGTCGCTCCTTGGTATTGAAATGTGACATTGGCAGCATTGAACTTGTAGGAACCCCAGTTGGCTGAGTTCTTGATCTTGATTTGGGTTGTGAATTTCGTGTTGAATGAAGGCGTTGCCGGGACAGATTCGAAGCTCTGGACGTTGATGTTGCCTAGCCTGAACCGGGGGGTCTTGACTTTCATGACAGTGAGACTCATTGTGGTGATAACTATGATCTGAAACACAACGAAAATACTAATATAGATGGCCATTTTGATTTTCTTCTGGCGTTTCAGCTCATCAGCGGATTCCAAAGACTCTGCATCACTTCTTTGGTAACCATGGTCTGCTGGTGCCGAAGGATAAGCCTGCTGGGTCTTCTCAGCCATGTTTCCTTTCTTTTCTGATGTAAAAGTGAAACAAATCTCTCTGCTTTTGTTTGGTGGCTTTGGTTTTGTAGGATGAAAGTTTTAAGCGGAGGGAATTGTTTGTGGAAATTAAGG